GCGCGCGCGCGAGCGCACAGGAATGCACAGCCTGCAATCTCAAGTTATCTTTTCATTGTTGTTCTGATTTTGTTTTTTTGAGACAAGGTTTCTCTGTGCAGCCCTGGCTGTCCTGGACTCACTTGCAGACCAGGCTGGCCTTGAACTCACAGAGATCTGCCTGCCTCTGCCTCCCGAGTGCTGGGATTACAGATGTGCGCTGCACCTGGCCTCCTCAGCTAATAACAAAGTCAGGACACAGCTCTTCTCCCTCCAGAGGGAGAGAGCACTCAGCTCTGGAGGACATGGGGGCCCTGTGGGGACTAGGACGTCACCCCGCTAGGTTCCCGCAGGAGGGATAGAAGCAGTCTTGGACAGGGTGCCCAGTGTGGACCCGGCTGGGAAACCCCCAGGCTTCAGTCATCTGCTCCCTGCCAGATGGATCTGGCTAGCACCAGTCAGGGCCTGGTCCCGACTCGTCGAGGCTTCCTGAAGGCCAGGCCTGCAGGGTAGAACTGGGGTGCACTGAGAGGCTCTGGAGGGGCCTGTAAGCCCCCTAAACTCTGACAGGTCTGGAGGGGACCCATGAGGGCCACAAAAGCTTCTCCATTGTTCTACCTGCAATGACTCAAGCCTGTAATCCCAGCACTTGGGAGGCTGAGATGGGAAGAGGCCAGCCTGGGCTACATAGCAAGCCCTTGTCCAAAAAGAAAACAAATAAAATCCCGTGTTCAAAGGAAGCCCATTGGCTGCTCAGTGTCCACGTGGGATTCCTAGTAAGGGGAGCAGGGGCTGAACTCATTGGTGGGCTCTTTGATCACCCCCCCCCAGGGGGGAGCAGCCTTACCAGGCCACAGAGGAGGACAATGCAGACAGTCCTGATGAGACCTGATAGGCTAGGGTCAGAGGGAAGGGGAGGAAGACCTCCCCTATCAGTGGACTGGAGGAAGGGCATGGGAGGAGGTGAGGGAGGGAGAGGGGGACTGGGAGAAGAGGAGGGACAGGGCTACAGCGGGGATACAAAGTGAATAGATTGTAATAAATAAATATAAAAATAAAATTAAATTTATTAAAAAAAAAAAGAAAACAAATAAAATAGGGGTATGGCTCAGTTGGGAGTGTTTGCCTAGTGGACATGAAGATGTGGGCCAGAGGCCAACATGTCTGTAATCCCAGCACCCAGGAGGGTGGAGGCAAGAGGCAGAAACTTGACGACACGGCAAGGTCAAGCCTGAGCTACATGAGGCCCAGTCTCAGAAAAGTAAAAAAATAAACCGTTGGTAGAGGAGACAGAAGATGGCTCAACCCCCACCAACAACTCCATTTCCAGGGCCCCAACAGGCAGAGCTGTGGGCCCCTGACTCAACTGGAAGAAACGGGGGAAGGGGGTAATGGGGTACCCAACAGCTGTCTGTGAGAGCTGCTGAGTGTGCCTGAGCGTGTGTGCAGGACTCGGGCAGACCTAGGGTGTGCGCCCCGCCCCCTTGCCTGGCCCCCCAACCTGACATCCTCCAGCTCAGCCTTTCCCTGGCAGGTCTCCACCAGGTGGCTTCCTGTCTCTTTCCTGGATTAGGTCCCTTAGACCTGGCGCCTCCTCCCTCGGACCCCCCCCCCGCAGTGCCCCGCGTGGGCTCCCCACAGCCGTCAAGCTGGTCTTGGTGGTGGTAAGGGACAGGGGAGGGAATCTCCCCCTCAGCGCGGCCCCCACCCGAGCCTGAGTCATCTGTAGGAGTCATCTGTCTCTCGGCGTCACCGGCCCTGTCCTGCTCGGGGCCAGCTTCCAGTGAGGGGCCCACTGCGTGCTCTGTGCTCTGCTGCCATCTGCCCCCGTCAATCTCCCGCAGGCACGGGACCACCCAGCGCGCTGCGGGCCTCATTCCGTCATCAGCAGCCAATCAGTGAGGCCCTCCGCCGCTCGGCAGCGCCTGCTCTGGGGGCCTCCAAAGTGCCCAGTCAAGCACCGAGCTGTCGGGGAGGGACCTCAGGGGCAATGCCACCGTGCTCTAGACTTCAGGCTTGCCCGAAACCCGTGCAGGTAGCCACTGGCTTGCGAATCTCTATTTTGTATTGGTGTTTTGCCCGCATGTGTCTGGGTCGGTATGAGGGTGTCGGATCCCCGGGGACTGGAGCTACAGACAGCTGCCATGTGGGTGCTGAGAACTGAACCCGGTCCTCTGGAAGAGCAGCCAGCGTTCTGAACGGCTGAGCCATCTCTGCCGCCAGCCTTGCTTCTCAGCCGTGAAGCACAGTCCACAGCCCCTTCATAAACATCTCTGCAGCAAGGTGCCCAGGCCACCCTGAAATTGCTCTGCCATCTTGTCAGCCTTGAGCTGTGATCCTCCTGCCTCAGCTTCCTGAGCAGCCGGGATGACAGGCCTGGTGTGTGTGGCCCTCACCCAATCCAGAGCTCACAGATTAGGCAAAGCTGGGCAGCCGGTAAACTCCAGGGATCCTCCTGTCTCTAGCCTCCTCAGAAGCCCTGGGGTGGGTGTCCAGCACTGCATCCAACTCTGTCACGTGGGTGCTGGGGAATCATACTCAGGCCGCCATGTTTGGCAGCAAGCAACCTTCCCTGCTGAACCCTCTCGCCTGCTCTTGGATACTCAGCTTGCCAGACTCGGGAAGCAGGGTCTGGACCGGAACAAGAGCCTGCCAATCAGTGCCCTCTGCACCCCCTACCCGCCCATTCTGTGCGACACACGCAGCCTGCAGACTTGGCGGTTATTTTATTTTCCAGTTCAAAGCTACTATCATGGGTCTTTAAGAGTTATACAAATGACAGTTACAAAAAATAAAAGACTGAGATACCCAGAATGAAGAGATGCATGGGGCTGGGGAGTGGCTAAAATGGGGAGGCTGGGGAGAGAGAGGCCCCTGAGGTCTACTCCAGGGCTCCCGGGAGCGGCACGCCTGGCTCTCTCCTGCCCAGGAGCCCCGAGGTGTCGGGAAGACGTGGAGCACCAATCACAGGGCCGGGGCTGGGGTGGGCAGGCAGGGGGGAGGGAGGGAACCCGCTGGGGAGGCAGGAACAGGCGCCAAGAGTCCCCCCCCAAAGACCACGCACAGCTACAACCAACAGGGCAGGCCTGCCTGGGGCCCTTTCAACAGTAACATTTCCTTAAAAAAAAAAAAAAAATACTGATTTGGTCATTTTTTTCTGCTTCCAGTCAGGCCAGGGTGAAAAGGAAAGAGATGGGAGCAAGGTTCGCCCCATCCCCGGGATATGCAGGGGCAGCCCAGCCACCCAGCTAGCTTTGCGTCAAGGAAGCAGCCAGACCTCTGCGGGATGGGATAGAGACTGCTCTCTAGCCGCAGTCCAGACAAACACTTGTGGGCAAGCCAGGTGACACCTGGCTTCAGTGCCACCCAAAGGCTGGCCCCCTGATGCTGGGGCCAGGTACACCCGAGAGGCGTGACCCCGTGGGGGCGGGTTTCCAGTTACAAGCTCAGGGGCTGGGGCAACTCCCCGGGGTCCCCCAACCACCAGCAGCTTCTCCTAGGCCACTTCCTGGGGGAAATAAGGCTGAGTTGTCTGAGGTCAGAAGGTGCCCGGGCGCCCCACGGCGGAGAAGGGTGAAGAGGAACCCGAAGTCCCTCCCAGAGACAGTCTGCAGCCACCGACCCATGGGGAGCAGAGTTAGGGGGGGAGGGGCACCGTTTTCTCTTGGGTTTCCAGTTTGAAAGGCAAGGAGCTTGCCACCTGCTGGGCCGCCCAGTGAATAGGGACAGCGGAGGGACTGGGGGGCGGCCTGCAGAAGGCAGGGGGCCCTAGTACTCCCAGAGCGAGGCGGGGTCAATAGTCTCCGCGCAGGCCTTCAGGACCCCAGCGTGGTCCCCCTTCAGGTAGCGGCCGCCAGCCTTGATGGCCACCTTGTTGTAGTCACAGAACTCAAGGAAGAAATCCACAGGGGTGTCGCTGCTGCTGGTGACGGAGGAGTCGCTACCCACCGTCCAGTACTTGCCCGTGGAGTCTGGAGAGGAAGGAGACACATCAAGCCATGCTGCCTACCTAACCCCCCCCGCCCCCGCACTCTCCGCAAGGATTGCTAGTCCCTCCCCCACTGCCCCACTGCCCCACTGCCAGCTGCCATAACTGAGCCAGGTCAGCCGGATGTGGGGCACAGTCCTGTAATCCTCACCACCAAATACTGAGGCAGGAGGATCATCTAGAGTCAAGGCCATCCTGGGAAATTTACTCACACAACATCTCAAACTAAAAAATAGAAGAGGGCTTGGGCTGGGCATGGTGGCACACTCCTTCAATCCCAGCATTTGGGAGGCAGAGGCAGGTGGACTCTGAGTTTAAGGGAAGCCTCGTCTACAAAGCGAGTTCTAGATCAGCCAGGGCCATTTAGTGAGAGCCTGTCTCAAAAAACACAAAAAACTTTAAAAAATAAAGAGGGATTTATATCAGCAACAGAGCACCTGCCTAGAATCCCCCAGTGAGGGGCTGGGACACAGGTCTGAGTTCAGTCCTCGGCACTGCAAAAAAGAAGTTGGGTTTGCCAAGGCCACACCCAGCACAGGGTTCTGATTCTAATTTAACACCTCTGGATTGTTGGGGTCCTCTCACTGTAGTTTTTGTCCCACAGCCAAGGAGTCATAGCCTTATCTTCCATTTTCTCCTTTTTTTTTTTTTTTTTTTTTGTTTGTTTGTTTTTGAGACAGGGTTTCCTGTGTAGCCCAGGTTGGCCTGGAACTCAGAGATCCGTCTGCCTCTGCCTCCTGAGGCGTGCACCATCACCCTCTGGCTCTATCTTCTTTGTTTATCCTTCCTTCCTTTCTCTTTGAGATAATTCTGTCTCCGATTCATAGATCAGAGCCATGCCTCAGTATCCTGAGCTGGTTCCCACCTTCTCCATCTGCCCAGGATGAGTTGGTAAAATTCTCTACAGACAAGAGGGGAAAGGCTGGCTACCCCCAGTGACCACAGGACAGCCCTGCCCTGGAGACTCTGAATGGCTGTGAGCGAGCACCCCACCCGGGGAACCTGCCTTTGATGTTGTAGGCGCCATCGTTGAATTCCAGCTGGAAGACATCGTAGCTGGAGCGGTTGGCATCCAGGGTGCCAGTGACCTTGCGGCAGCCGATGAACCCGTGCTCCCCTCGGAACACGATGATGGGGCGGTTAATCAGCTTCATGAGGAAGAGCTCCGAGTCCCCTGCCACAGGGAAAGGGACCACCGAACTTAGCAGCAACCAGTGAGCCAGGGTGCGGCTCAGAGAGGGGGCACCACGAAGCTAGGGGTCCGCACACTACCAGCCCGAGGGGTGCCCTGCATACCAGAGGCTCAGGTGGCACTGGGGCGTGGCCCCGGGGTGACTGCCCCCCTAGGGCTTGGGGCGCGTGCCCTCGAACGGCTACCTGCTGTCTCCACCGAAGCAGCCAGCTGGCCGTTCTTCTTGGCGGTCACAAACTTGCCGTTGGACGCTCTTAGAGTAACCCGACGGTCGCACCACTCGATGTCAAAGTAGCAGCTGGCGTTCCTGGGCAAGAGAAGAGGGGTTGGCAACAGGAGGGGGTCAGGCAGGCAGCCCGGCCCGGGAGAAGGGCCAGCCCAGGGGACCGAGGGGCGGGGCTCACTCACTTGGTGGAGGCCGTGGACTGCACGCCCCCGGTGGCTGTCAGCGTCCAGTACTTGCCCGTGTGGGTGCGGAAGGCACACTTCCTCGTGTCCCGGTCCATCTCCAGCTGGAAGGTCTCCTGATCAGTCTCTTCGTCCTGATTGGCCGACAGGTCCATACCTGCAGGGGGAGACCCGAGCCAGTCAGGCCACCGCGTGACCCGTTTCACCCGCACTCAAGGATACCACAGGGCTGTGGGCTTCCTGAAGTGTGCTTCAGACCCCTCAGATGGTATCTGAGCCAGTGAGGCGGAGGACCCAGAGGCTTGGGCCAAGGCTGGCCAGGATCTCATCACTCGGTTAGAAATGGCAGGTTAACTCTGAGTTCTGGGCTCCCCAGGCTACCGAGTAAGATCCTGTCTCAAAAGAAAGAAAAAAGGAAGTGTGTGTGTGTGCGCGCGTGTGGGTGGGTGCTCTTGAAGACATGGCTTGGTCATGAAGCATTACGGTCAGATTCCCCGGGAACCACGTAAAAGCCGGCGCGGCGGCCATGGCGGCATGAGCCTACAAACCCAGCATAGGGAAGCTAAGACCGATGGCTGCCTGGAGCTCAGTGACAGCCAGCTGAGCCGAACTGGTGAGCTCCAGGCCATCGAGAGATTCTTGTCTCACAGTACAGAGTCCATTCAGGAGACAGAGGCAGGTGGGCGTCTGTGAGTTCAAGTCCAACATGGTCTATATAGTGAGTTCTAGGACAGCCAGAGCTATCTAGTGAGACTCCATCTTTTTTCTTTCTCTTTGATTTTCGAAAAGGATTTCTCTGTGTAGCCCTGGCTGTCCTAGAACTCATCACTCTGCAGTCCAGGCCGGCCTCCAACTCAGAGATGTGCCTGCCTCTGCTTCCCGGGGTTCTGGGATTAAAGGTGTAGGTCACTGCTGCCTGGCTATACTCCATGCCCCACACAAAAGTGTGCGCACATCTGATATTGATCTCTGACCTCCATGTTAGGAGGTCAGACAAACACTAAAAATCCGATGTGCCAGTACTCAAAGACTGAGGCAGGAGACAGCCTCGGATATTTATGGGTTTAGCTCAGTCAGCGGTGGGTTTCTTTAATCTCTAGCACCCAAAAAGATAAGGAGGAAAGGGGAGGAGGAGAGGAAGGAAGCCTTCAAACTTCAAAATGAACCACCCACAACGATGTTCCAAAGCCAAGCAGAACTCTCCCCTGGCCCGGGGTTTTAAAGCTTGGTTCCAGTCAGGCAGTGCTGCTGTTACATAAGGAGCGGCCTGGTTTCGTAGGTACAGATGGAGGCGTTTCCGGATAAGAAGCCCAGTGTCAGGAATTTGCTTTAAATACAACCAAAACCATGGAATAAACACACAGATGGAGCTGGTTCTGCAGAATGTCACATGGTGGGGTGCTGGTAAAAGGGGGTTTGCTACCCGCTTCCTGTAGTGGGTATGTGTTAAAGTAGAAGGATAGAGGATGATCGAGGCCCGGTGACCCATGCCTGTCATCCCAGCACTCAGGATGCTGAGACCAGCCTCAGCTCTGAGCGAGACCCTAGCTCAAAGGAATAAGATAGGCGCGTGGTTTGGCAGAGCGCTTGCTTTACTCCCAAAGTCCTGGGGTCCATTCCCAAAGCTGCGTGAAAGGATGTGGTAGAAAGGGCCTGCAACCCCAGTTCGTGGTTAGCAGAGGCAGGGGGACCAGAAGTTCAAGGCCAGCTTGAGCCACATGAGACCCCACCTCCACCCCAAGCACACACAAAGGGTTGCAGCCCACCGGGGTGGCTCATGGGGCAAAGGCACCTACAGACCTGAGTTCAGCCCCTGGGACCAGCACAGCAGCAGAACCTACTCTGACCTCCGAACAGCACCCAAGGCATGTGGCCACCCCCCTCCACATACAAAAATAAAAACAAATACAACTTTTTTTTTTTTTTTTTTTTTTTTTTTTTTGGTAAGAGAAGGTGAGTGTGAGGCTCACACCTTTCTGCTAGCACTCAGGAAGCAGAGGCAGGTGAATCTCTTTGAGTTTGAGGTCACCCTAGTTACATAATGAATTGTAGACAGCCAGAGCTACATATATAAAATAAATGAAACAGAGAGGTGGTGAAGCGCTTTCCTGGCATGGCGGAAGGTGCTGGATTGCACCCTGGCACCACACCCACACGAACCCCCCCAACACACACGAAGACCACACGTTGCCTTAGAAAACTTAAAAAGGATAAAAATGAAGTCATATTTTATCCCTGCCCCCACCTGCCACAAACACTAAAGGCTGATGGAATTTTCCAGCATTTCCCTGCGTGTGGGCATGTCCACCCAAACAGGACCACCGGGCCTCCCTCCCTCGCCCTTTTATTTTCTTTACCTCTAGACAGATTTGTATGTAATATGTATGTATGACTGGCCTGTGGGAATGTATATGTACCACATATGTGTCCGGTGCCCTCAGAGCTTAGATCTGGAACCCTGAGAGACACCGTGTGAGTGCTGGTCCTCTAACAAGTGTTCTAGAGCTGGGCGTTGGCAGCACATGCCTTTAATCTGGGACGCAGAGGCTGGCAGTCTCTGAGTTCAAGGCCAGCCTGGTCTACAACGTTCTGAGACAGCACAGAGAGAGCCTGCTTCAAAAAACAAAAAACAAACAAAAAAACCCAAACAACAACAACAACAACAAAAAAAAACAACAACTAACTAAAAACAAAACAAAAAAAGAAAAGAAAAGAAAAAATTTTAAAAAGGCCTTGCTCCCTGCGGCTCTGCTCTCCATCTGGGAGTGGGACCTTGGGTCCTAACAAGAAAAAGTCTTTGCTTTAAGGAGCTGGGATTCGAAGAATGCCAGCCTCGGGGCAGTGCATACTGCCGGCTCCGTTTGTCTGCGGGCATCCTTATGAAGCAGGGACCAAGCAGGGGACAGCTGGTGCTGCCTTCACCCTTGCCCCCAGGAACCCACGCTCGGTGGACACCCACCCAAGGGTGTGCCAGGGCCACCCTGACCCAGGTGTCTCCATCTGTGCTGGAAAATGGGGACCCTCACGTCTACCTCACAAAGAGAAAGACGAAGAAGCTGAGAGGTGGCACAGCCCTGGCCCCAAGGTCACACAGAAGACTAAGGGGTTTCTTGGCTCTCAGGAATGGACAGAAGCCTGGCTATGTCTGAGCCTTTCTTCTAGATATAGGATAAGCAGACACAGCTTCCAAGATGGCTTCCATGGGGGGGGGGCACCCAGGACCCTGACTGACCCTGTCTCTCTCTTGCTAGAAATTCACCCTGAGGCCACAGTTCTGGGCTGGAGTCTGCTCAACCACCCACCTTCTCCAGCAGAAACTGGCTGTCCTGCCTTGGCCCACAGTAGGGTTGGCTAAACATCGAGAGGACAGCTGGCCACAAGCGTGTGGGGTCCCGCCCACTGTCCCCTCTGCCTGCCACATGCAGGAAAAGCTGAGTCAGCACCGAACACTGGGCAGAGCAGCCACACCATGTGCCAGAGGCCAAGCAATCCCACCTGATCTAACTGTGGCCACCCAGGGAAAAGGGGCAGTCAGAAGTCAACACCAGGACCTCCGTGGGGAAAGGCCCTTGTGGCCAAGCCTCACAGTTCCATCCCCAGAACCCAGTTGGGTTTAGGAGAAAAAGGATTCCCACAAGTTGTTGCCTGAGCTCTCTGTGTGTGTTGTGGCCTGCATATACACCCCCCGACACACACACACACACACAAATAAACTGATAAAAGTAATTAGACTGAAAATGTATTTGAGAAAAAGAAAGTTTTGGGTGTGTTGGGGTGTGGCTCAGTGATTGAGCATTTACCCAGAGCCTGCTGGTGAGGGGTTAAGGACCTGAAGGCAGAGCACCTGCTGGCCCCGAACAAGGCCTCAGGTTTGATCCCCACAGTCCAGCAATAAAAGAAAAGCTGAACCAGCTGGTGGTGTCTCATGCCTTTAATCCCAGCACTCAGGAGGCAGAGGCGGGCAGATCTCCGAGCTCCAGGCCAGCCTGGTCTACAGAGTGAGTTCCAGGCCAGCCAGGGCTACAGAGAGAAACCGTCTCAGAAAAAAGAAAAGAAAAGCCCCTCCCAGCCACCCCAGCATCAGAGGCTGCCCCAAGGCGGTGGAACAGGAGGCCAGAAGCCAATCCTAAGAGGTGGCCTGTGTCTGTCATCCCAGCACTCTGGAGGCTGAGGCAGGAGGATGGAGAGGTGGAAACCAGATGGGCTCCAAGACAAAAATAAAACTAAGGTGGGTGGGGTAAAGGAGTCACGGCTTCCCAGCATGCTAGCCATCCTCAAACAAGGGGGAGACCCCAGCCCAAGACCTGCCCCAGCAGGGCAGGCCAGCACTGTTAACACACACTAACCCTCAGCCTCCCATTACCTCTGAGAAAGGAGACATCCAGACCAAAAGGACCTCACCCAGGCCACCATCTGGCTCTCACCTCTAGGTACTGGGACAAAGGGCTTGTGGCCTCCACCCTTTGGTAAAAGGCCCAAAGAGGCCAGTGGGACACCAAAGGTGGACTCCAGGCACCCTTGGGTGAATGTCTTCTCTGTCTGCCTCAGTTTCCCTACCTTGACAGAAAGGAACATCTCTCTATTCTCTAGGGACCCTGAAAGGATATGAGGGCCTGTTGCCAAGGGTAAGCAGGACCCTCCCACTTCAGGAGGAAAGGCCTGGAAAGGGAAGTTAGCCCCCTTCCAGAATGGCCCCTCTAAGGCACAGCCAGGGGGGAAAGGCCCCACTTGGCCTTGAAATCACATTGGAGCAGTGTTGCTATAGTAACAGATTTTCTGTGGGATTTTTTTTTTTTTTTTAAACAGTGGCAGCACAGAAAACCTGAGTCACAGGCTCCCAGGAACCCACGGGAGGGGGCGTGGCTATCTTCCAGCTCCCCGGCTGTCTCTGTGGTGACTCAGAGGGTCCCTCAACCCTCAGCCCCCTCCCAGGCTTTAGCAGTTTGCCATTCCCTTGCCTTGTTTGAATAAGCATTCCCCCATCTCACGTAGGAAGGGAGGGGGATTTAGCTTGGAATCCTCCAGGACTTCACTTCCCAAAGTCTGTTCAGTGCTGGAAACCAGCATTCCTTTAACCTAGAGGGGAATTCCCAGACACCCCCAGACTCACCCGTCACTCCTCAACCAGACACCCTAGAAGTGATGGGGACAGAGCCTGACATGTGAACCAGGATGGGCAATGTGGGAAGACAGCGCGGGCTTGGGATGATCAGGAGGAGCAAGGAGAAAGGGGAGGAGACCTTCCCCTCCTCGCCCATCCTGGGTGAGGTATTGCTCACTGCTCCCAGGAACAGAGCCCGGCTCAAAGGACCTCTGTGTTTTACAGATGGGGAAACTGAGGCCAGGGAGCAGGAAGCTGCAACTCTGCAAGGATGATTCACAACCCCAGACTGCGCCTTGCCTTCCCTCCCCCTTGTCCTCCCTCCCCCGATTCCTGGCAAGCAGGAGCGGTTCCCAACACGTGTTTCCGAGGCCCAGCCCCGCCTCCCTGCCACGCAGGCCTGCCCAAAATGGCCTCCCAGGCACGCCCACCCAGCAGCTCGCCCCAAAAGGCCAGGGGGTGATTGGCCGATGATGGAGTGAGACCCAGACCCCAACACACGAGGGCAGGAGAGGTCTAGCTATGACCCCAAGTTCCCTTCACATCCTCACCCCTTCAGCGCCTTTAACTTCCGCCCCCTCCTGCCTCATCAGAGTGAATCACGAAGCATCAGACACCCTCAGAGAAGGGTACCTGCCCAGGCTCGCAAAACACACCTTCTAGCTCCTTCCGGCCCCAAGGGCCTAAGTCACCTGTGTCTGCCTAACCTTCCCCAGGGCCACAGGCCTTGGACACAGCTCGGGAAAGCACAGAGCCATCTCTCTGCTTGCGAGTACCAGGCACGTCCGCAGGGCCCAAAGCCCAGCCTTCCTCCTAGGGACGCTGGGCTCTTCTCCCGGCACCTCCCTGCCTCGGGGGCCTTTGTACAGGCCGTGCCCTCTGCCCGCAACACCCGCCCATACGCTTGATGCGTGGTCACTGCTATCCACTCTCCCGGGGGAGCCCCCGTCCTTACGGTCTACACCCAGATTCTGCACTCCCCCCAATCTTTTGCTTTACATCCCAGTCACGTTCCCAAGGGACGTCTACCGCTCCTTGTATCTCAGTGTTTGCAAAACAGGTGTGAACTCTGACCCCCTCACCCAGCAATGTGAAACAAGAGAAGCTGCCATGCCTTGGTGTGTGTGTGTGTGTGTGTGTGTGTGTGTGTGTGTGTGTGTGTGTGTGTGTGTGTAAAATGAAAGAACATTCCGGATTCAAGCACCCGCTGTTCAGCATGCTGCTGTCTTACTGTGTAACCTAGAACAAATGGCTGTACCTTTTCGGAGAGTTAATTCTGCCCAATCCAGGCAGGCCCCACCCAGGCCTTAGTCCTCTGCATTGGGGGAGGGGGCCTTCCTCTCCACAGGCTCGGCTCCCGTCCAGCCATCTCTAAAGCCTGAGGTCCAATTTCCCACCCAAGGAAGCGAGATCTCACAAGCCCCTGCTAGCAGGCAGCAAAGACCCTTTGGTAAAGTCCGGGTACACCAGAAAGGAGGCGCCTACTTGTGGCACGCCCATGCCGTTCGGAAACGGCCTGCCGGGCTTCTGGAGGCCCTGGATGGGGACAGATCGAGTTGCAAACGATTGTTCCCAGCCAGGGAGGCCTTGGGCACCGGTTCACTCGAGGGTAGAGGCTTCTAGAGGGCCACTCCGCCGAGTGCCAGACCGCGAGGCGTGCACGGGATAGCAGGGAGGGTGCCTGGCGCGCAGCCACCCGCGCCACGCCGCCCGCCAGCCGGGGTGCGAAGGAAACGCTGGGCGGCTTCACTCCGCGCCTCCGCGCTAGCCCCTGGACCAGGGACAACGCCTGGAGGGTTGGGGGGTGGCTCCTCCGCAGAGGGACCCGCCTAAGCCGATCCCCTCCCCCAGCCCCGCCGCATCTGGTTTTCCCATCTGCAGAGCCCTAGCAGGACAAAGGGGACGAGGGAGGGCCCAGCCGTGGCGACCCGCCCCCCTGCTCACAAAGGCCGCGGCCCGGAGCGCCAGGCCTCGGCGAGGGGAGGCCCGATGGGGGAGGGGCGGCCCCTGCGGACATTCTTCCCGGCCCCCCCCCCCAAGTCGCAGGGCCAACCCCGCCCGGCACACCCCGTCGGGATCAAAAGCCCCGCCAACCTCCTCCATCACGCCAGCAAAGGCGGGGAAAGGGGGGAGGCAGGGAATGACTGTCCCCTGGCCCTTCAGCCAAAGGCCTGCGAAACGGGAGAGGACGCACGAGGAAACGGACAGGGGGGAACCCTTCCTCCCCAAGACCTAGCCCACGAATGGGGACAAGCCAGATTGGAAAGGAAGAGGAAACAGAGGTCTAAGCTAGGTCTAGGAAGCCCCACGCCCCCCATCCAGGGGTGGGGGTGGACAGCATTGCTTTAGGATGGGCTAGGCCGCACCCCACGTCACCTCCTCCCAGCAGATGAAGCCCACATCCCGGACAGGGGGTGGTAATACAGGACTTTAATCCCAGCGCTCCAGAGACAGAGGCAGGAGGATTTCAGTGAGTTCGAGGGCAGTCTGGGCTACATAGAGAGTCTCAGGATAACTACAGGGTGAGACCCGGTTTTTCAAAACAGAAAGCCCACTTCCCCCAAGTGGGGGACGGAGGCCTGTGCGCCCAACGGGAGCGCACGAGACAGGGAAACGGAAGGACGGGGGGGATGCTTTTGTGCACTGGGTCGGGACCCGAGGGGGGAACACGTCCCCAACTCACCCTGGCGCGTGGACACGTTCCTCTCGTTGGCCGCCTGCAGCACCACCTGAGCGCAGCTCTGTTCCAGGGCGAAGAGCTCATCTTTGCCCACCTTGGTGGCCTTGCCGGCCTTGAGGGTGCCGCTGGGCCCGGACGGAGCCAGGTAGCGACCCTCGCAGTCGCGAAAGGCCACCTTGCCGGAGCGGAACTCGAGCGTGTAGCCCGTGGCGGGCTCGGGCCGCGCCACAAGGCGCCCGTCGTGGCGCAGGAAGCGGTGGTCCGACGTCTGCACGCTATAGCGCTGGTCCTGGAAGGCCAGGGTGATGAGCGAGTCGACGCCCCAGGGCACGTCCCGGTCCACCGCGATCTCGTCGGCCGGCCGCGCGCTCAGGTGCGCGTAGCGCTTGCGGGTGACGCTGTAGATGTTGACCTGCGGGTGCATGGCGATGTGCACGCTCCACTTCTCGGCCGGCGACACGCTCTGCGCGAAGCACGACAGGCGGTCCTCGGTGCCGCCGAAGTAGCGCCGGTGCGCCTCGGACTGCAGCGACCAGCGGCCGTCGTCATGTGCCACGACGAGGAAGCGGCAGTCGGCGTCCGGCGCCTCGCGCTCGCAGCTCACGTTGCCGTCCTTGTCGGCGGCCAGGTAGCGGCCCAGGTGGCTGCGCAGGCACACGGCCGCGCTGCCCGCCTCGTCCGGAGGTTGCTCCAGCGTCCAGATCTGCTTCTTCTTCAAGCTGCTGGCCGACGCGTTCACCTTGAAGCCGAACGCCTCGGCGGTCAGGTACTTGTTGCCGCAGCTGATGAGCCCGAACTGGATCTGCACCGCCTCGGCTGTGCCGTTGGCGGTCATGGTGGCGGAGGGCGGCCCGGCGGCCCCGGGAGCTTGGGTGGCTGTGCCCGACCTCCTTTGTTCGGCACGGCTTAGCCCGCTGCGGCGCTCCACAAAGCCAGCCCGGCGGCGCCCTGGGTTTTATAGGCGGGTGACGTCATCGGGCTAGGCCACGCCCCGAGCCGGGCCTGCCAGGGGAGGGGGTTCTGCAGAGCGCGCCGGGGGCCCTGCGCCTCCGCAGCGGGTTTTTCTGGGTTTTAAGACGGGGTCTCACTCTGTAGCCCAGACTAGGCTTGAAGGCTCTTGTGTGGCTCGGGCTGGACTCGAACTCATGGCAATACTTCTGCCTCTAGCTCGTGCGTGTTGGCTGGTCTACTTAAATTGCTCCTCCGCTATCGTTCTCCGCAGCGGTTGGCTGATCCCCAGCCTTCCTCTGCTCTCTGAGGCCACCCTGGAGCACCCCACCCCCAAGACCCAGCACAGGGGAAAGATCAGGCAGGTTTAAGGTAACGATGTCTTCCGGATGGAGGGAGGGTCCAGGGTGTACCAGGAAGTAGCCTTAGAGCTGTTCCTTGAAGAGGCCAGAGACACCGGAAGACACCCGCTGGAAACAGAGGAGCCTGGGCTTGAAGAGAGGTTAAACTCTGGAGAGTCCTACCGGCCCCACCCGCCACAGGGTTTCTCGAAGGCCTTATAGCCTGGGCCTCCTGCGCACACACTGAGGTTTCTATTCCGGGGCCAGCCTAGAGTACAGCCACCCTGCTGACTCTAAAGAAATCGTGGTGATTGTGGCCTGCGTTAGTGACCAACGAGCATCCCCACTCTGGTGCTGCTCAGGCCCTGGGGTGCTGGTCTACCAGGAAGCAGGCTGGCTAAGGCGGGGATAGCGGTCTCTATCTATGCAGCAGAGCAGAAAAAAGCGGGACAACTCCCTGGCGTGGCACAGCCCCAGGGTGACTTTAATTACAGCCCCTCAGAGTTCCAGACCAGAGGGACATTCCCACAAGCACCACCTCCCACCAGCCCATGCAAGAACACTTTTCTTTCAGTCTCTGGAAGGCTGAGACTTCTAGGACATTCCCCACATGCCAGGCAGGCCCCTGGAATGCTGACCCTACCACAGGCTGCCCACAAGATCTGGGCCCTGGCCCTTCCCAGCCACAGGCTGGGCAGGATGCTGAAGCTGACCAATCCTCAGGGTGATCTGTGCCCAAAAAGATCCCTGCCCTAGGCAATCCCCTTCAGGGACGGAGGGTAGATGGCAAGGCCTTCTCATCATCAAAGATCAGTCTGGACCAGCCCTTAGCATCCCTGCTGGGAAACCAGGTTCTTCCCTTAGAGGTCACAGAAAAGGTCGACAAGAACTAGGTTGATACCCAGCGGCCTCTCCGGCTGTGTGACTTTGGTCAGAGCTCCTGCGAGCTTCCCTCTTCTGTGGTAAAGATACATAGTCCTGGGTATAGGAGTCACACCTGTAATCCCAGAATTTGGGAGACAGGGACAGGAGGATTGCTGCAAGTTCAAGGCCAGCCTGGGGAAGCAAGTCAGAAGGCTGAACACCCCTCCCCCCGCAAAAAAAACAAAAAAAAAAAAAACCTCTACTGAGGGCCACCTGGGATCTGGTACTCAGCTCAAACCTGCTTAACCCAGGAGCATTTCGGGCAGACCCGGGCAAGTTAGCCTCATTACGCATCAGGCAGTTAAGCCAATGTCGGATCTGTGTCAGGGGTGCCATAAATGCCGGCTATTGATTACTCACCTGGCATCCCTTCAGGGGTCAGGGCATGGCTGCATGGGCCAGCCCTCCCAAGCCTTGGGCAGGGAGGGGGGGCTGGGTGTGGTGATGGTGCAGGCCTGTCATCTCAGCACGGCAGAGGTGAAGGCAGGAGGACCAGGAGTGCAAGGCCATCCTAGGCTGCATACTGAATTCCAGGCCAGCCCGAGCTGTAGGAAACCTTGCCTCCTGAACCCAAAGCCGGGAGCGAGAGTGAAGGCCTGCACCACCGAGGCTGAAGGTCTGAATTCGGTCCCCAGGACCGCCTCGGTAAAGGTGAGAGGTGACAACTCCCTCAGGTTGTCCCCTGACACTTGCCCCACCTTGGGCAGTAGGGGACCTTCTGCCCCCCACCCCTTCATACATACATATGTAAATGCAAAGAAGAAGAAAGGTCTAGGGAGATGGCTCACTCAGCAAAGTGCCCATTGTGATTGTGCAAGCCCAGTGACTCCACTTCTGGTGGACCCCTGACACCCACACAGAGCTCAGCCGTGGCATCCACCACACAGGGGAGGGACAGAAGATCCCTGGGCTCACTGGCCAGTCAGCCTCACCAAATCGGGGAACTTTGACTTTAGTCTGAGAAACTCAGAACTAAGGCGGCTAAGAGAGGGCTGGGCAGCGAGGAGCGTCTGCTGCTCTTCTAAAGGACCCAGATTCGGTTCTCAGCAGCATGGCTGCTCGTAGCCACCTCCACCTCTGGCTCCCAGAGGCCCCACTGTGTCTTCTGGCCTCCTCGGGTCCCGGAGCCCACATGACGCACTGCACACAGACACAGAAAGTCTTTTTAGACTTTTAAACCTGGCGTGGGGGCGACACTGCAGTCCCAGCACTCGGGAGGCAGAGGCAGGCGGAACTGAGTCTACAGTGAGTTCCAGGACAGTCAGGGCTACACAGAGAGGTGCTGTCTCAGCCAGCCAGTGGTGACGCATGCCTGTAATCCTAGCACTCAGGGAGGCAGAAGCAGGAGGATCCCTGTGAGTTGGAGGCCAGCCTGGTCTACAAAACGAGTCCAGGACAGCCAGGGCTACACAGGGAGACCCTGTCTCAAAACACCAAACAATAATAAGATGGAGGAACCAGCAATGTGTCTCGGCAGGAAAAGGCACTTGTCTCCAAGACTGAAGACCTGAACTGGATCCTCAGAACCCACCCAGGAGAAGGAGATAATTGACTCTCATAAGCTGCCCTCTGACACCACACATGTGGCGTGCAGTCCCCACAGACACAGAGAAAATAAAAATAAGGTGAAGAACTGAGAAATTACCCAACGCCAGCTTCTAGCCCACTCACGCATGCGCACACGCACACACATACATGAGCGCACATGAATACACACATGTACCCATACACACACACACAAACATGCACGCACACACACACATACCAAGAAAGCGTTGCGGTAGGAGACCATAGAGAGGCCCCTGGGTTTCTCCTGGGGACAATTTCAGGCCCAGCACTCAGAACAGAGGCTGAAATGTTGGGGGAAGCCCATCTGGCTTTGGGTGAGGTCATCTGTGGAGAATCGAGGTTCATTTCAGCAGAACCAAAGCCTCATTGTTTCGTGAGCCACCCTTGGGAACAGACAACACATCCACGGCCGTAGTTCAAATACAAACGGCGAAACAACCTTCTCTGTCCCGCTCCCGCCCCACCCTCCACCGCCGCTCAGAGATCTCCCTTTTGTGGCTCTTTAAATGGAGACGAGCAAGCGTGGGGATCTATTCAGCTCCACTGAGGGTTTTGTCTGCTTTGCGATAGTTTCCGGCTAAAGTCATGGCCTTGCACATGTCAGGTGAGCAGTCTGTTACTGAGCCACACCCGACCCTCCCTCCTCCTTTCCACACACTGGGATGTTAGAGTTAGAGTTAGCATGCTTGAGCCAGACCCTCCTCACAATTAACCCTTCAGTCACCAGCCTCAAAGCTTTTCACTTTTCTTTACCTGGATCCGTACCAAACACACACACACACACACACACACACACACACACACACACACACATACACACACACACGCAGGCAGCCAGGCAGCCAGGCAAACATGTGTGAACACACAGGCAGGCACACACACATGCACAGTGCGGCTCTGAGGCTTCAGATTGAAGGTCTCTGCCTCCTGTGACAGGGAGGGCCCTCCATGCTCATGGGTGATACAAGCCTTTGCTCTAGATGGGGTGAAGGCTTGAGGGGGAGGCTCCTGGGACAGGAAAGTGGGGTGCCCTTGTGGACTGGGAGTTCTGCATCTGGCTGGGTCTAGTAACCGCCGAGCTTTGGATGGGAGGGCGCCTTATTATTACTGTCGCTGCTGTTGTTGTAAGCAGGCTTATTAGGAGCCGCTTATTAGGAGCTCCGGCCTGCTCCAAGCCACGCCTTCCCCAGGCGCCCCTGACCCTGGCTTCCCTGGCCTGTACACATCACGAGGTCTTCGGTCCTGCCCTGGGTCCCTCTGGGGAAAGATGGGGACGTGGACACTGTGTCTCTGGGCCCCGTGGGGACCCAAGCGCCACCTGATCCTTGTGCAGCACAAACAAACAGAACACTTAGCAGAGGCCAAGGCCTGAGTTGCTCCTGGCTGGATGCCTTGCCCTGCACGTACCCCAGACAGGAAATAAGGCCACAGGCAAATAAGGGACGGTCTGGCCTGCTCCCCAGCACTTGACTTGAACTTAGTTCCCTGAGGGAGGGCTCCTGGAGGGTCTCCAGAATTCCCATGATCTCCTAGGACGGCCCCTGCAGAGCAGGGACTCCCAAAGGACCCAACATGGACTCCCTGGGCTGCACAGCTCCCATCTCCCCAATGTTTGTTTTTTTGTTTTGTTTTGTTTTTTAACTCCTTTTGGTTGTGGTTTTGGTCTGGTTTTTTGTGTGACAGGAGCTATGATGGCTCAAAAGGTCTTGCCCCGTAGTGTGTTTGAATACTTGAGCCAGAGGAAATGTTCCATTAGGAGAAATAGGCGTGGCCTTGTTGGAGGAAGTGTGTCACTGTGGAGCGGGCTTTGAGGTCTCCTGTGCTCAAGCTCTGCCCAGTGTGGAATCCAGTCTCCTCCTGGCTGCCTTCAGATCAAGATGTAGAACTCTTGGCTCCACCAGCACCATGTCTGCCTGCAGGCTGCCATGCTTCCCGCCATGATGATAATGGCTAAACCACTGAAATGTAAGCCAACCCCAATTAAATGTTTGCCTTTTTAAGAGTTGCCATGGCCATGGTGTCTCTTCACAGTATTAAAAACCCTAACTAAGATATGGCCTCATATAGCCCAGGCTAGCCTCAAACTTACTATGTCGCTGAGGATGACCTTGAACTCCTGATCCTCCTGCCTCTACCCCCA